TTTTTTTTTTTAACTTTTCTCTTCCAGTTTGTTAAAATTAGTGAAATGAAAATTTAAACCTTCTTTTCTTTCTGTCTAGGTAGAGACATTTATCATGAGTGGCCAGCTAATCCGACTTCGGTCAGAGTGTTTTATCATCTCAGTCTGGTTTCGCCTCTTGAGCATTCTATTTTAATTCCCAAAACCTATAATTGATCACTGTAGCTAAATGTAAATCTGGTGGATGTTTAAGAATATCTTTGTCCTGTTCTTATTATGATAATTGTGTTTGGTTCATCAGTTGTCAGTCAAGTTTTTGCATCACTAGTTATTTCAGGTGGCACACCTTTATTCAAATTGTGTGATGTGTCATGAATGGCTTTTCTCTTTGCAATTATAGTTTTTGTAAGTAACACCAGATAGCCCTCTTGTAGCATGATAGTTATGTGAAACTAAATGCCTGCACATTGTTCTGTAGTGTTTATGTACATATTTACATATAATCAATACACTGTCTCTTGCTTTGCCTTCACAAGTTTTTGAAAATGCAGTTAGTGTGCTGAATTTCCAGTACATTGATAGTCACTGATGAATCTAACAAAAGTATCCCACAAAGGTGTATTTAAACATGAGAGACCAGCAACTCTGAGTTTAGTAAAGCTCTTACAAGTTGTTGCTTCAACTTGTTAGTTTCCTTTAAGGATTTAGAACCTGTGATTTCTTATCCTTTTCTTATGTTCAGTTATTGACTTCCTTCCACTCCTAAGAGATGGTCCATAACTAAGTTTACCTGTCCTGTGTTTGTTGGTAATCTTTTTTTTGTATCTCTTGCTTGTGTATACAATACACATCCGTGTCTTAATTTTAATGTACTATTGTGATTTATTGAGAGACTAATTTCAATGTTTTGGACCATGTGGAGTTCAAATCTTATGAACTGGTACAGTAACTTTTTGGGAAGTACACCATTTAGAGCAAAGCAAAATGTGTAGTGTTCATAATGATAACTCTTTTATTTTATGTTGAAAAACTTTATGAACAGCACATTGGCTTTTTTAAAATCTTATTTTTACTATGTTAAACTCCAGCTAGTGACTTTTCTGAAAAATGCTCAGAACCGAAGCGCTGTTGCTGCCTTTGGGTAAAACATTGTTGTTTACTCTTAGGGAAGTAAATTTTATTGGCATTCAAATTTTAATCCATACCTGCAAATTTAATAGTTATTGATTTACCTGATTAGTGTTGTCTAAAGCAATGTGTGCGGCATAAGGTTAAGCATTGTATAGATTTGGAAATTAAGAATTTTCCAACCTATTTGTATCTTGGTTTTAGTCACTAAGAGTAGTGTGAGGATGAGAGGGTGCACGAGCAAATGGTTGTATTGTTTGTGTGTGAAATTTTTTTTTTTATCCCTTCAGTGCAAATCATGATTTTATCTACTTCAGATAAAATTTTGAAAGACATTGTTTAATGAAGAAAAAACTTTGTACCTAGTTTTGAAGTCAACTCCTTTTGTAAATATTGATTTAAAGTTTTAACTAAACAAATATACTGACTTCTAAGTCTAATTGTATGTTTTATTTATTTGTGAGAAGAAATTTATTAGGGCAGATTCTCTGCTTCCCACCTTTCCCTTTACACAACTCATCGTCTGAACTTCTATTACAGGCAGTGTTTTTGATTATCAAGTGTGTGTGTGCCGATTTAGTGCCTGTGAGAAAATGTGTGTGTGTCTGGGTTTGTTTGTACGTGCGCATTGAAGTGAATGAATGGATGTCTCCCTGAGTTCAAAATTAATCTGAGTTTAAAGTGTACCTCTACAGTAAGAAAGTGCTGTTCATCCTTTGTTTATTCAAAGGCAGTGTGCAGATAAGTGCAATATTTACAACATTTACTAAGTATTAACTGTTACTCCGCTAGTTGCCGTTCCTCTTTGTGGTGCCAAAATTCATTTGCTGAAATTATAAATTAATGGAAATTTTTTTAAGATACTTAGTTATTGACCTGTATGTCAATTTTAGTTACCTTTTCCATTTATTTGCATCTGTAAGAAGAGAGAATTGTGATAATCACATATTTTTAATTGCAATGTTTCATCACCTAATCCTTGTAATTTGTACATTTCCTCCTAAACCTTATTCTGACTTTCTACTTGTTTAATGAGTGCTGTATGTATGTCTTGTGTATCTTCTAGGTTAAATTGTGAGTCAGACCTAACAAAATGTTGCCAGGGGGACTGTCCACTCTTTAGATCTCTTTAGCAAGCAAGTGATATATTAGAGTTCTTGCTTGTAAGTGCTGATGTGCATGTGTGTTACTAGTTTGCATTGTAAACCAAGCATATGAACTGAAACTGGAGTACAATGTGTTGAGGCTGATATAGTTGCATTATAGTTTGTTGAACATCATACTTATGTCTCCTATCTCATAAGTAGATTGTATATTGCCAGCAACTTTTCAAATTCTAATGAAGTAGAAACTAGCTAGTTGAATATCTTTGTCCTATGGCAGTGTTTACCAATCCAGTTGAATGATGTAATTTTTCTTTCAAATATATCAGCTGAAGTGCAAAAGATAGTTCGACTTATGTGTAACCCTGTTTATAGGATGATAGACTTTCCCTCTTGTATGACTATTGCAGTAATAAATCACAAGAAAAAGAAAACCTATCATTGCATCTTGTCAACACTGGTTAGAAAGTTATCTAAGTGACTGCCATTAAAAAAATATTATTTTTTTAATGAAAGGAAAAACAAGAGAGAAGGCAAACACAAAATCAATTTTGTGCGAAGAGTCTACTTGTTCTTTGCCGCATCAACGTGCCGCACCGAGAGCAATACTTGTTCTTTCTACCACAGTATGTAGGCTGGTGGTAAAGTGCGAGCAAAAAACATAGTCTATAATCAAACTTCTGCCCTGCAACACTTGCTGATAAGAAGTGACCGAGAAACACAATCATCACAACCGCTACAGTGCCACAGCCCCCCCCCCCTATCTCTTATTTTCTATCCCTTCATAATCCCTTGAGTTGAAAACCAAAGGGGGGCTTCCCCGCTCCCCTAAGAACGCCTGATGAGTTAGGGGGAAATGCACAACTTTCCACCTGGAAGTGGGCTTTTAGCATTAGGTCTCCTTGAGTCTCGACCTGGATCCGCTTCTGCCACATTTGCATGGAGCACGGCCTCTCAGTGATGGTCTGGGTGATAATGTAAGTGTTCTTGACAGGATGCTCTGTCTGCCTTTAGCAAGCTACCCGGTCGTCTATATTTGGAATGCGCCATGGTAGGGAGCCGCTAGATGCAGCCAAGATGGGGAGGCATTTAGTCCTCCCCCCGCCCGTGCCTTCTTTCATCCCTATCTCCGGCAATGGCTGCAGAGCGACGATCCGCATATTACTCATGCAAAGTAATAGGGAAATTCACCGCCCCC